TGTTATTAATGTTTGTGAAGTTGTGGGTGGGGGCTGGGAGAGCGAGGCTAAGCTCAGTTCCCTGGCACTTCTTCCCTGCTCGGATCAACTCTTAAGAGGATGGTTCCTCTGCCTGCCACCACCTTCCCTTTCTGCTTCCCTTGTCCTTGATCTGTGTTCATCTCTGTTCTCTCTTCTCGTGTGCCCTTCCCAGTCTTACAGCTCCAGTCAGAAACCGATGGGAAAGATTTTATTACTGTTCAAGGTCCTGCGGTGATTACCAGGATACCGGAGGAAATTCTGAGATAACACAGATATCCTTTGTTTACTGAAAGACGTAGCGCGTTACACAAGTGAAAGAGTTTGCAGGTCACTGAAAAAAAATGTTTTAATCTGTCTCTGATGCCTCACTTGAAGAATTCAGTCAAACTCACTAATAAACATGTTTAATGCAAATTTAAGATGCTACCATTTAAAGGAGATTTTCAACGGAGTATTGTTGAAGCAACTTACGGCATTGTTTGGTTTGATGAATCCTATAATGAATGCTGTAATATGTAGAGATGGCATGGCGTTCACCGTTCTTAATGAGATTTAATTATAATGGGAGTATTTTCATCCTTCACTCCTACCCAAAGCCTGTTCTCTTTCTTTTGTAATTCCCTAAAGGCTTTCAGCCTGCTGTTGGGTTGTTGCTGCCACCTAATGTCTCAAAATAAAATTGCAGTGGGTCTGCCTTTTGCAAAAGATTTGCCCTGTTTTGCAGTTTATGGAAATAACTATTTGAGAGCAACAGTTGTTTTGTGCTATACTCTTAAATGATAGCACTCTTGGCCAGGCAGGGTGGCTCAGGTCTGTAATCCTAGCTTTCTGGGAGGCTAAGGTGGGAGAATCACTTGAGGTCAGGAGTTGGAGACTAGCTCGAACAACGAGACCCCGTTTCTACCCAAAATAGGAAAAAGTAGCTTGGTGTGGTGGTGCAGGTCTGCAGTCCCAGCTACTCAGGAGGCTGAGGCAGGAGTACTATTCCAGGAGTTCGGGGTTACAGTGAATTATGATCATGCTATTACACTCTACCTGGGATGACAGAGTAAAACTCTGTCTCAAAAAAATAAAAAAGTAATAGCACTCTAAAGTGATTACTTATGGGGGGGAGATTATTAGTAGCATATATTCCACTAGCAAAGGGTAGAACTAATAAAGCAGGAAGAGATTTAAGAGTTCTAACCCCCAGTATAGGACAAATTGCCACTGTGACCTTGGCATGTATTTCCCCTCATAAAATTGGACTTGATGCTCTGAATGACCTATTCTAGTTGTAATATTGTTTATTGTGTGTACTTTTAGTTATAAAAGCATAGCCCTTATATATGATACTGTTTATTTCCTTGGCCTGAAGTTCTCAGTGTTTAGTATTTCCTTTTTTAATTGATACATTTGTATATACTTATGGGCTACATGGGATCTTTTGTTACATGCATGGAATGTTTAGTGATCAAGTCGATGCATTTAGGGTGTTCATCACCTCAAGTAATTATCATTTCTATGGGTTGGGAATATTTTAGATCCTCTCTTCTAACTACTTTGAAATATACACTGCACTGTTGTTGACTATAGTCACCTTCCTGTGCTATCAAACATTAGAACTTACTCCTTTTACCTAACTGTTTATGTGTACCCATCAACCCAACCAACTTCTCTTTATTTCCTTTTTTTTCCAGATTCCTCTGTAATAACCAATATCTCTTCCTCCTTCCCCACCCCTGTACCACCCACACATCCTTCCCCGCCTCCAGTATTTATCATTCTACCATGTTCCTCCACAAGATCTGCTTTGTTAGCGCCCACATATGAGTGAGAACACATAATACTTGTCTTTCTGTGCCTAGGTTATTTCTCTGAACATGACGACCTCCAATTGTATCCATGTTGCTGCAAATGACATGAATTTATTCTTTTTTACAGCCAGATAGTATTCCATTGTGTGTGTGTGTGTATATGTGTATATATATATATACACATATAACGTTTTCTTTATCCATTCATCTGTTGATAGACACTTACCTTGATTCTATACCTTGGCTATTGTGACTATTGCTGCAGTAAACATAGGGATACAGGTATCTTTTTGATAATGTTGATTTCCTTTCCTGTGGATAAGTGCCTGCTTGGTGGGATGGCTGGGTATGGTAGTTCTATTTTTAGTTTTGTGAAAAACCTTCGTACTGTTTTCTGTATTAGCTGTACTAATTGGCATTTCTGCCGCCAGTGTGTACAAGTTCCCCACCAACATCTGTAGTTTTTGTCTTTTTGATAATGGGGTAAAGTGATGCCTCATTGCAGTTTTCATTTGCCTTTGCATTTCCTTGATGATCAGTGGTGTTGGGCATTTTTTCATATACCTGCTATCCATGTGTCTTATCTTGTTTTGAGAAATCTTTATTCATCTCCTTTACTCACTTCTTAATGGGATTATGTGATTTTTTTACTATTGAGTTGTTTGAATTCCTTGACATTCTAGATATTGGTCTCTTGTAAGATGAATAATTTGCTACTGTTTCCCCATTCAACAGGTGCTCTCTTTACTCTGTTGATTGTTTCTGTGGCTGTATGGAAGTTTTCTGGTTGAACATGTTTTTCTTATAGCGCTGTGTTAAATAGATGCTCATATTTCCACTGTGTGAATAGATAGATAGCTTTGATAGCTTTTCTTTACTCAATTAGCAGAGACAGCTCTGAAGACTCTGTGTGGTTAATACAGCCTTAACCAGAATAACACTGCTGCTTGCCTGTTATTCGTGGATTTTCTTAGCTTCCCTTTGTACTTCTGCGTGTTCACATTACAAAGTCAACTGCGCTGCTTACAGAGTTCCTAGATTTTGTTCTTTAAAAAACAAATCTGTATTTTAAGAGATTTATAATTACACTCTTAAAATTTTCCGTAGCATTTTAAAATACAGCATTAACACTACTATGGCCTAAGAAGAAATCTGAAGAAAGTAACTTTTCTAGATACAGAAGCATAGAGCGAGATAGAGTTTGCTGTACATGATAGATTTTTTTTCTTTCAGTTTGGAAGAACGTAACATTTTGGCAAAACCCTTCAAGGATTCTGATATCCTAAACTGACTTTGTAAAGAATATTTTGCTTCTGTGCAACATTTTAGCAGGTGTTTTGAATGTTGCCATTTTTCTTAGTTATACTCTAAATCATTTGTCCTTTGTAATTCTGTAGTGGTTAAAGCAAAGTCACATGAACGTAAAGCCTTACCTTAACTAGTTTGGGCTTAATTGTTAACAGATCTTTTATAGTATTAGGAGCGCTGGTGAGTGAAGAACCTACTGAATAAAATAAAAATGGATTTGGACCTGCTGTTACTAATTATGGGTACTATCCCTGTTCATGAATCCTAATTAAATATAGTCTGTTTTGCTGTTGTCCTTTGTCCATAGTTTCTGATTTCAGTGATGTTGTTCAAGCCATCCTGACCGAATTTTGCAAGTAGAATCTTGAGACTCAGAGCCTCCGGTGACTGACTTATAGTTAAATATAGAGCCCTTATTGAGTTCCTATTAATTTTGTTAGTCTATTGAAAACTTGCTATTACTACTATCAAGTTTATCTGACATAATTCCTTATAAGCTTTAGCAGACAGATCATAATTACATTATCTTTTTGCAAACAAAACCTCTCTTTGAAAAAATACTTCACAATTTTATTAAACATTGCTATCAGATTTCTGTTTATTATCCAATTATTACCGATTTTTATTTTTCGGAATTGAATACTGGTTGAAGGCGTACGAATGCTTTAATGTAGTGGTAAGAGCCTAGCGTCTGAAGGCAAATTTCCTGAGTTTCAATCCTGGCCTACTTTGCTCTATGACCTTGGGCAAGTTATTTAACTGCTTTGAACTTCAGCTTCCTAATATGTAAGAGGGAAGTAATAATAGGAACTACCTAATAATAGGGCTGCTGTGATGATTAAATTGTAGACAGAGAAGTAGATAGATAATGCATTTTCATGGGCTATTTATTTAGTTAAACTCCAAGATACTTTATTTTTTGATTCATGCAAACGTTCTTTAATCTAGGTTTGTCTTTGTCTTTTCAGGGCTGGGGAAAACCGTAGGACATTTAAATACTACGGTTATATACCTGATTATGTATAGGTTTATTCGTATCTTCTGAATTAGCCCCAAACGTAGGTGAGGTGATTGGGAAGGGGGGTGTTAAGGCAAACTATGACATTACCTCAGCTTTTGATAGATGCTTTAGTAAAGACATTTAGTCTGACTCTCTTGGCCACCAGAAAGATGCCTTCTCTCACTTGGCAGATGAAGTCGGGCTCTCTAGGAATAGGCTCCCATGACACTCTGCACTGTGATGGAAAATTTCTTTGATTCTTTTTGTTGAGTGCCTTTCCTTTCCTACTAGATTATGTGTTCCATGATGCCAAACTTTTTTTCTGCTTTTTTCAGTGCCTGGCATGTCTTGTCCAAAAATATATGGTAAATATTTGTTGAATGATAAAATGAGTCCTCATTTTAGAGATGAACAGACTGAGAGGCGTATTTTCCAGGACTTATCTCAAGCCACGTGGTTTCAAAAACAGTTATAACTTGAACTCAAGTTTCGAGTCCTCTACGTCACAGTTTTTTCTCTGCTCTTTCTACTATACTCTGAACCAGATTTAAGATCTAGAGTAGTATTTACAAATGACTGGAGTGCAGAGGTAGAATATCCATATCCCAAAAGGCTGTGAAAAGTGAAAGGCAAATCCACGTTCTCCTGTCAGAGTTGGATGACAGGTACAAAAGGGCTTACGGAAAGAAGAGACAGTCGAACTAGACTTTCAAGGATGGGCAGATTTGAGATAGAAAGGTCTGAGAAAGGTCATACCAGCCATAGATGGTATTTTATATACTTGTATCATTTTAGCCTTGATATCTTTAATGACATTATGTAATAGATGTTTAAAATCTGCACGTTAGTCAGCTCACGATCTTATCCTATTTCAGTGAACAACGTGGGAATGTCATACGAGTATCCTGAATACTTTCTGGACATTCCTGACTTGGATGGTGTAAGTCTTTCTTTATATATTCTGGTAGCAAAAATAACCCTTGGAGGTCTTGGTGAGACAATATGGTGTAATGATTCAGACTATGAGCACTAGAGTCCAGCTGCCTGAGGTTCACACCCTGACTCTTCTACTTACTACCTGAGTTGCTCTGGGGATGATCATAATCATACTTACCCAGTCCCTGGGCTCATAAAATTGGCAAATAGGGATATTAGAAGGATTGAATGAAAACGTATTTACAACCTCATTTCTACAGTGCCAGGTTCGATAATAGCTCTAGTTTTATTCTTATTTTATTTGTATTATAGCAAAATAGCTCTATTTTAGGTATTATGGTTCTAAATATCAATTTAGAAGTTGCAAATATGTTAATATGTAGCAACACAGTTAATTCAGATAAACCAGCTCTACCAAAAGGAAAGCTACATCCTGGTTGCAGCACAGTCTTTTATTGAAAACTAGAAAAGCATATCATTGAAAGACTATGTAAATTCTTTTAAATTACAGAAAATCCTAGGTTCAAGAATTCCTACTCTCGATACTAGCACAGAGGAATTGCAAAGTGTTCTATTTATTTTAGATTTAATGTCTCTTCTTGCTTTTAGATTTTACTTTCACATATACTTGGGTTTTGCATATTTGCTTGTTAGAAAAATGCTGTAACACTGAGAGTACCATAAAATCTGCCTCTCCACCACAACTCCTCATTTTCCGAGGTCTCTGCGGGGTCTGGGGAGACTTCAGTGCATCCATAGATTACTTATGTATGTCTCATATGGTCCCTTTCATGATGAAATCTGTATGATTATCTTTTTTTTTTTTTTTTTTTTGCAGACCATCAAGAAGCTGATAAATGTTAATATCCTTTCAGTTTGTAAGGTAAGCAGCTTCTTGATAATCGTGCCTCCTTTTTTGATTCATTCTGTTGAAAAACACTGCTTGTTCACTTCAGTCCACTCCGTTTCAGTGTATGTATATATTCCAAATGAAAGGGGTCTATTGACTTATGTCCTCAGGAAGTAGAAAGAAATGAACACCAAACAGTTGTCTATATTATTTTGTTTTTTAAAAACCGAACAGTTATTAAATGCCTTCTATGTGTGTATATGGAAACACCATGGGAAGCACGGGGGCACAAAAACTGACTGAGGCTGGAGGTTGATTTTTACAAAGATGTCATCTGCATGCTATTCATCACTGCTAAATTATTTCCCCTGTGATACATTTGAGGTGATAAATTAAATGTTGTGGTCAAGTATTGTACGGGGAGTGTGGGACTATAAAGTAATGAGAGTGATTTTTATAAGCCACGTGCAATAACTAGTCTCGTTGCTGGATGATGAGCCTGCTGTGTGGCCACATCACTTTCTGTGCAGCAAAAGACAAGACGGCTAACATCTACCAAAGAAAGAATACATAGCAAACATCATTTGTCCTCATCTCTTAACAATTACTACAAAAACATACCATCCCTTGATTATACATACCGGAGCAGTGGAAAATACTGCCTAAGGCAGAGTTCCCACGGGTAATGTCAGCTACTTTCAATTTGAACATGCCTATAGGAGCCAGATCCATTTTTCAATTACTCATAAATACTAGTTTATTTAAGGAAGTCAAAAAATGTTTCACTCAACACTATGAGAATTGACCAGATACATATAACTAAGAACTTATTATTAATCTTCGCTTTATGGCATTGTGGTCTTTTTTCTCCACTGTGAATGTTCAAAGAAAAATTTTCCTCGTGTCTTCGTTTCCTGAGAGCAATTATATGTTCATTTCAAATCCAAGAACACAATCATTTTTCATGTATGACTGAATACACGTTTGCCTGTGTGACATATATGTGGTTTAAAAGTGTTAATCCGATTTTACAAGACAAATAACATTTGGTAGCTTGCTACTTAAAGTTACTTTCGGTGAATTATATTGTAAAATGACAATTTTGTAAAACAAATAATTGCTCCCTTTGTTGTATTAACCATTTTTTTTTTCCTTATGGAATATTCAGGTTAAGTGGAACTGTGAGTAGATTAGAGCAAGACCCCCACCCCCATGCACAGCATTGACGCTTTTAAAACATGGTTAATATGAATAAATCTGTATAGTTTTCAAGATATTTTCGTAGCACATTTATATAAATGCAATTATTCTTTAATAGTCTGTGTAAGGTTTCAAGTTAATTAAATAACTCCACCATTAGCTAGTTATATTAGAACTTGGGAAAATTACTTGACCTATGTACTTCAGTTTTTAATCTTTAAATTGAAGATGATAATTCTCTTTACCTCAGAGAGGTGTTATGAGGCATTAAACAAGGTAATGTGTTTAATGCCTTAGAACAGTGCCCAGATCACATAGTAAGAACTCTCAAAATGTTGTTGTTGTTAAAACTCAGAGCTGATAAAGATTTTTAATCAATAAGTGCATCTGTGACTTTAATTTTTAGCAAGTAAAGCTTTTTGATCAAAATTAATATCTCTTCTCGTCTACAGTTTACTTACATTGTGAATTTTGCCTTTTGAAATGACTGACGTGTACTGTTATTGTGATGTATCTTTGCGGAATATTTGGCCAAATGCTCGAAAATAATGAGTGTACATGTGTTTCCTAATCTGGTGTACCTAGTTCATGGTAAAATATGTTCAGGTGTTGCAGTTTTTTTTATAGAATTATTACACTGGCTAAAATTACTCTCCTGATAATTTTAACTCTGTGGCAAGAACTGCGTACTGTAGATGGGTTGGTATTTTGTCTGACGACCTCCTGCTTGTGGTCACCTCTGGGTCTGTCGGCTCTCCTAGTGTAAAACCCCGGCCGCTGCTGCATTTTTGGCTGGCAGCCTGCAGAATACTCGTGATAAAAGGCCAAGGTCCTGCCCTGAATCTGAGGGAATCAGTCAGCCTGCTGTGCTCCATGGTTGCCGGCTGCATCCTGGAAGCAGCATCTGAGCACAGGCCAGCGTGTGCGCCGGTCATCACATCATGCCCCTGTGTAAAGACCACCAAGTGCCAAGGGTGAAGTGTGGATCAAACAGCACAACTCCAGAAGCACTGTGGAGCAACTTTCAGTTTTTATAAAACAATGATGGAATAAAAATGAGGTATTATTCCAAGTGTCTTGACAAACCATGAAACCCTTCTCCCACCTCTACATTCTTCCCCAGCTTCTTTCTTTTCACCTCGTCATGTAGACATGTTCCTGTGAAATGACTTAGTGGAGACAAATGGAATTTAGTAAACACTTACGAAGTATCACTAGCAGAAGAATTGGATATATGCTTAAAATTTTTGTACTTAAGGAAGCATCTGTAGCTCAGTGGGTAGGGCACCGGCCACATACACCGGGGCTGGCAGGTTTGAGCCTGGCCTGGGCTTGCTAAACAACAATGACAACTACAACCAAAACAAATAGCCAGGTGCTGTGGCGGGCACCGATAGTGCCAGCTACTTGGGACACTGAGGCAACAGAATCATTTAAGCCCAAGAGTTTCAGTTTGCTGTGAACTGTGACGCCATCTCAAAAAAAACAAAAAAAAATTTTTTTTTTGTACTTAAGCTCTTTTTCCCTTCCAAACAGAATCCCATTTTAAAGGTATTAAGGGAGATTGCTATGTAAAGTATGTCTTCATTAAGCCAAATAATCATCCCTTAATTTATCTTTAGTATGAATCTGAATTTTCCTGTACCATTGTGCTGTGTACTTTTAATGGGAAAACAACTCAATACTCTGGATTTATGGAATCAATGAATCATGGAATTAATACCATCTGGAGGATAGCTGATTAGCTTTCGTTATACTATCGGCAGGATAAATGTAGTTATCATCTCCAAACACAGTTGACTAGTAATCATTCAGATATGGAAATGATTTGAGTGGAGCAGTGAGGGGCAGGCAGTGTGCAGTAACTAACCAGCAGACAAGAAGAATAAGTTGGGGTGTGATTGTCCTGGACCTTGAGTGCTGGGCTCCAAGGGATGGAGAGCCATAGAAAGCCTTCAAGTATTATAAAAGTAAGGCGTGAGCCGATCTATGTTTTAGAAAGGCAGTTCTAGTGGCAGAGTGACATGGCTATATGTGTTTTATGATACGCGTTTATCTTATTTATACTGAGACAAAAGCTGTGGTGCTCACTCCCAGGTTTAGGGCTCTTTGGTGCTGCTGTGATTTGCTCTGTGGTATATTTAGATAAATTGTGCCTGTTCTTCAGTTGACACTGTTATGTTGCCGGGGCCAGGACCACATTTTTCAGTAGCTTTGGCTGTTTGGAGTTCTAGGGTAACTTAAAAGAAGAGGAAAACTGGTCTGGCTACCAAATCTTAGAAGGTTTTATGGTGGCTGAACATCAGAGGAACTAGGGCATGGATGTCTGCCGCTCATTGCTACAGTGAATTCACTGGAAAAGTCTTATGTAAGAAGACAACCAACCACCTCTTCTCACTGTCAGTGTCGTCCAAGTTTTATCTCCTCCCAAAACTACATGATAGGGAATAATAGGCTGAGGTGAGACTAGTGAAGTCGACTTACCCTTGTAAGTCTGGGCTTATATCCCTCATGGGGAGATGTCTGCGGTATAGGGCCCTAAGTCGTATGATGTGCCAGGGGCTTGGAATGACCTGGCTTCATGTCCTTTCAGGTCCCTGTATTCCTTTCCTGGATTGGTAAATCAGATTATAAAAATCATAAAAGCCAAAAACTGTGGGGAAAAACCAAAAATCACGAAGCTTCACATTCTAGGAGAGGAATGATAAAATGAAGTATCCTGAGACCAAAGGAATTGCAGGTTGTTACCAGACAAAGTGGTGGTGATGTGGTCCCGAGGAATATTACGGAAGAAATATTAATCAGAATAGCCCTGGTATTTAATCATAAACAACTCTTCCAGGCCATCTCCAGGCCTGTCCAGTTCCATCTGATTGTTCCACTTTTTGGTCTTACTTAATATTTTAGCCTATTTCTTCCTTCCCTCTCAGTGGCTTACTTCATTGGGGTTTCCCTATATTGGGGGAGTTTAGAAGCCTTGTTGCGTACTTCTCCAGCTTTGCTCTCAGTCCTTCAGCAATAAATTTAATCTTGTTCTTGTTCCCTGCAGCAGAGTTAAGTGGTATAGAAGTTCTTTGTAGATGACCAGTATGGCGGGTAGATTTGTCTCAAACTATAAGAGAAGTCCTACTAGATAGGGTTTTCTTCGTAGATTACAGATGCCCCATGACTAAAATCTAAGATAAATCTTATTTGTCGTCCAGGAACAGGGACCTTCACACCAGAAATGGTAGAGTTTGGAGACAATTAAACCTCAGGATATTGAACCATACTTTCCTAAAATAGTTCCAGTTTTATGCCTGGAGGGATTTCCACCCCAGAATAGAGAGTTTGCAGATGAAATTGGTGAGCTGTGATTGATTACTATTAGAGAAACCATGGAAAATGGGAGAAGTGCCACGATTCCGGAGGCAGGCAAACATAGGTCTAATTTCAAACAGGTCGTGCTGAGTTACACATCATTCCAAAGACAAGTTCTAAAATAGATCTTGTCTGTACTGTTGGTTTCTGATTTGAGATCACTTGTTTTAACACCTATCAAACTTGGTCGCCATCCTTCTCTGGGCCCAACTGTGCTTTTGAATCTTTTAATTACAATTTACAGACCTCATAAGACCTTAGAGTCTTCACTCTTTTCCATATGAGCACTGCCCAAATAATAGTACCTGAACTGCCTGCAGCCCCTATAGAAGGGTTGGAAAACCACTTCTTTAAATGACAGTGAACTCTGAAGACGCTGCTGGGTTTGGTGAATAAGCTAGAAATAGAAATTAGAGGGGATTTTTGACCTTCCTTATCACCTTTCTTAGAGCACAAAGGACATGAGTGGGGTC